CTGGCTGGATTTTTCATCAACATAATACCATGCATCAATATCTAATTCAGTGGTCCCAGACGCCTCTGAGGAGCCCATAGCGTTTGGAACGGGGACACAATTCTAGGCGCAAAACTGATTTTTCTATTCTTTACAAAAAACTCTCCGTTCTGGCGGCAAGATTGCCGTAATCCTCCTGGAGCGGGCCATGGTTTATGAAAGGTTGCAACTTGCAACCACTGATCTAATTCATTATGCGATTTGATTTAGATCACACCTCTTCCAATCTTATGCTAGTTTTGACCATTAAACATAAGAATTTTGGCTGTTTAGACCAGTGGTGTTCAACCCTTCTGATGGAGAAGAACCACCAATAAAAATATCTGAGGCTCGAGTAGGGGCGCAGCCATGATTTTTTCAACGGGGGGATACGGTGAAACAAGAACTTGCGTTCATAGGTCTGCCGATGATGGCAAAACAACGGCACGTGCAGCGCCGTGCCTCATTCGCCTTTCTTGGCCTGTCCCATTTTCAGTTATCGCTGACTATTACCCCTGGTCAGGACGATCACATTTTCATTTTAATGCGTCGTTAACTATAATACTGAAAGTCAATTCGTCGCGGATTTGAAATCCCGTGATATCTGCACGTAACGCTTTCTTACTTTTAGCGGTGATTTATCAACATATTATTTTAAGGGAACTGAAAGAAAACGCATGTAACTGCTTTTCGCCGACAGGGTTAAATTTGCTTCTTGCCGCTTTGACGCAAGAAAAAACGCCTACTCGCTTTCGTCGGATGGCAATCTTCAATATGCATTTATTCTATTCGCACATAAGACAATCGTTATTGAGCGTTTTCGTCAATCGATATTTATTACAGTCGCGATCAAATCTTACAATGAGTGAATGTCCAGCAAAACAAGCTAAATTATCAAGTTATTTTTTTCAGGCAAATCATTCAGGCCAGACAGAACCAGGAACTTCATCGCGCAGTGCTACAAATGAAATCCATCCAGACTTGACTCGGTCAGACTTCGCCATAGGGAGTGAATTGGACATTGGCGCATATAATTCAAACGAGAAACTTTTGGACCAACAGAAGTACGATTATCTGACAAACACTTGAAAACCTAAGTCGTTATACAAATTCTCCGGAGTTGAGAGGAAAGTAAAAAGAAAGGTCAGATATGTGTCATTTCAGAGAAAATTACTGGTTCCATTACATTCGAACCCACGTACATTTAAACCCATGACAATTGCACATGCATACTATTGCACCTAATGATTTTTTTTTTGTTTTACGAATATTTGAACCCATACTAACCCTAACCCATGGGTTTTAGCACCCGCATATAGATTGAACCCGCGAAGTGCTCAGCTGCAGGTGCTTGTTAAAAAGCCTATGAACGATTATAAGGATGCTACCTCTATTTTAGCAGCACATTCCACGAAGGAATATTACCAGCTCGCACAAACAAAAGCCGAAAATTTCATACAAATATCATATCAAAGCGTGGGAATGAATGTTGCGGACCAGATGTCACATCAAAAACGTGAAAATAGAAATGGCTGGTTGTCGTTATTCAACCTAGTTAAATTGTGTGGCCGATAAACGATTCCCTTTCCTAGACAAGAGATTTTGGAAAAACTGGCCTTTGAAACAAACTAGAAAGAAGGAAATTCCGTGCTTTGGTCGGATTCCGAATTCAATCAAGTGACGAAGATTTGCGCAGATTTATTCTTGGCTCTGGAATAAACGCGCAATATGCTAGCTGGAGCTCACAAAATGAAATAGTGCAACACTACTGGGGATTCGTTCGAATGGCATTGGTGCAAAGAATAACATAATTCGGCTATTTTATGTGTTGGGTGATAAAACCAGCGATGTTTCAGCCTGTAGAAGGAAAGTGTGAACTGCGCAAAGATTTTTTCGGCTTCGTCGAGGCTAAATCCGTCACAGAAGAATATCTGGCAAACTGGGTGCCGGAGATGAATCAATTGCGTGGCAAAGGATACGACGGTGCCGCGAATATGTCAGGTAGTTTCCGCGGTGTTCAACCTTTGATTAAAGAACAGTACACCAGGGCGACATTTAGCCATAGCAAATCACATTGTCTCTACCTCGTCGTTATTGAGGCTTGTTGTTTCTACCTCGTCATTGGTGAGGCTTGTCAAGTTTTTTTAATACAAAAATTCCTCGGTGTCATGAAGGACGTGATTAATCTCATATCTAATAGTCCATCACGATCTTCATACCCCAAAGTCGGCACACCCGGCTAAAATCGTTGCGCGAAACGCTGTGGGTGCAACGACACGAAACAATGGCACTCTTTCGCGAGCTGTATTCGCCAGTTGTACGCGCATTGAATGAAATGTGATTCCGTTTCATTCGATGAGGCAGAAGCTTTTCAAATGCGAACGAGAACAATTGAATTCGAACATATACATTTTGCCTCACACATTGGCTCTCACTCATAATTCATCCTTTTCCGTACAATCAAAAACAATTGGCTTGAAAGATTGCGCTGATATGACAAAAAGAAAACGTCAAAATTTGTTTGGAATCACGACTAGCAGAAAGCGAGTTTGAAAAAATATTTGAAGATCGAAACAGCAGATCGATACCGCTAAATATAAAACAACTAATAATAATCATTCAGTGGGGGTAGATTGCGGTGGAAATTCAAAATCATTCTAACTGTATAATTACTAATTTGATATTTGAAAAGGCGACAGAGATGTTTCTTTTCTTAAAATCTCACATTTTTGCATTAGTGGCGGGGACCTTGTACACAAGATACCAGTTTAAATATTTTATCACACGTTCATGGATAGAAGTTGAGCTCCAGAAGTATGTGCACCAAGATGACACACAACCTGAACATAGTATGTTAGGGTTCAGGTAGTGTGACATCTTGGTACACACTACGGGAGCGATAAAGTTTCATAATAATATTATAAAAATGAATAATACTATTATTATATAATAATAATGAATAATAATATACAGCGAATCATAATTCCTTCCCAAAACTCTTCCATAATGTTGACTCAGTGGCATATGATAAAAACTATTACTACATGAAGCACCAAAACGAGTAATTATGCGACTCCAAAAATTAAGGAAAAAATGGGAATAAAAACAAGGGGTAGATACTAGGGCTGGGAATTTCTGGGAAAACATTTTAACCGAGTAAATTCAACCGGTTAACCACCGAGTGGCGTTTGACGTAGTAGGTCACAATTTAGGCGTGTTACGTCACAATCGCTCCAAGCGATTTCACGTGATCTTTCCCTGTTGTCGCTCGATAATTGCTCAGCAGTAAGATAGAGCAGTTTTTCCAGCAGTTGCTCTTTTGCAAGAGACATGCAGCGCACTTCGGACATATGGAGGTATTTTAAAAACCAAATCTGAAATTAAATACCATTTATATGACAAAACTTTCCGTGTTCGATGCGTAACTTCTACTTCAAAATATCATAAAGAGAAACAGCTAGGTGCAATGCTAGCTAGACGCAAAACTGATGTTACTTTCCCTTAGAACCACTGATCCAATGAAGAATTTCATGCATTAAAAGTTTCAAGAAATAGGTACGGATTTGGTTTGGATCACACTTTTTCCAATCTTAAGCTGATCGTGTGTGGCGCGAGTGAGTTATGATCATTAAACTTAAAAAGTTTGGTCAGTGGTTTTCAGCTTTCATGGCGGAGAAGAAACAACAATAAAAACATCTAGGGCTGAAGGAACTGCGGTGTGATTGATATGTGTAAATTAGTTACATTATTATATTTGTAACCTGAAATATGCCAATCAAAAAAATGAGACAACAACTGGACATAAAATGCAATAAAAACAGTTAAATGTATGTGATAAATTTTTTATAATCTTTTTTAAACAAATTGTGCATGATCAGCTCGGCCACAATGAGTATCTGAGCTTGTCTGTGATATGAAACTTATGATTGGAAACCAAATTCCTCAGTATTGCTCTTCTAGCAGGCGAATTTCATCTCATGGAAATGCAATTACTAATATAGGACTTAATAATAACACAGCTATATACTGTAATGCTCCTTCTAATTATATTGAATTTATCAACATACATCTGCTGATTAATAAAAATGTTTAGCAGCACGATAACGATGTGATTAACAAATATTCGCGAATGAAAGCAACTGACACTTATTACAGTATTACACGATGCCATATATATCTCACATTTAATCTTGCATTGTTTTATCGGTACTACTGTTTTCTCCTTTAACAATTTTAATATTCCAGAAACAAAGCTGTTTAACTTAACATCCTATACAATGAGGGAAATATTATAAATAAAAACAAGAGGGTAATGCTCAAATATATGGACGCAAAGGCCGAAACGAAGTAGTACGGGTATGCAATATGTCACTCGACTGACTACCAGATAGCAACAAAAGCGAACGGTTCGGAGTCAAATATATGAAAAAACTGCTCAAATATATGAAAAAACTGAAAATTTGAAAGCCATTGGTCCAGTAGTGAGAAACGAGTTTTTTTTTTACAAAAAGAAAAAAGAAATACTAACATGTTGATTAACAACCCATAGGATATTCACTGAAACACCAATTAGGGCATTCCAAAAGCTGTTCAACATCACTGTTCTTATTGAATTCTCTCCAAAATTCGAACCACACACATTCATTTTGACGACTTCATGATTACAAAGCCAACGAACCCACATTTTCAAAATCGGCCAAGTCGAAAACTGCCTTATTTGGGCTGATTCCCTGCGCAATTGCTTAAAAATTGATGAAGGTTGAAGTTTGTATCGAAAGTGTTCGGAAATGAAGAATCATTTGCTCATTCAGGAAATGTCACTATTTTTACGATTGGGATCTACTACTAAAATATTCTTAGAGCAGACTGCAGTTGCACTAATCGCTATTCATCCTTACTGCATTTTCAACAACGTCTTAATGACATAGACTATAAAGATTAAAAACTATATCCCACATCATTATAAAATAATGCCCACAAAATATTATCACTCTTATTTAATATTTTTTAAAAATGAAACCAAACGAATATCCACTCCCCATCTAGCAATTACGATATTCTAACAATGATAAGGGGGCGTGAGATTGGATATCACACAAGAGCAAATGCAAACAAATAAAAATATATTGCATGATGTGCATCGCCATTCACTCATTTCCATTCTTGGGCACGTTTCGAAAAATATTTCATTTGAGCATATCCATATTCACGTTTACAAATATAAAGTCTGTATAAACGATATAATTGCGAAAAACACTTTCCACATTAGTTACAAACATGAGGTTTTCTCTAGTATCAGTTCGTTCATGCAGAGTGGATGATTGGGTATCGTTTACAAACGGTCCAATGTTAGTTTTTCTCATTCACATGTAAATAGGATGACTTTGAAAAACTCTTTACGTCGTTGAGTTAAGTTCGTTCATGCACATGTAAATTACATAATATTGAAAACCTCTGGAATATTGTTTACAAACAAAAGGTTTCTCTCAAGTACGAGTTCGTTCATCAACATGTAAATTAGATAATTGTGAAAAACTCTTTCTTCATTGTTCACAAACATAAGGCTCGTCACCAGTATAAATTCGTTTATGCCCATGTAAACTGGATAATCGTGAAAAACGCTTTCCACATTGTTTACAAACATAAGGTTTCTCTCCAGTATGAGTTCGTTCATGCACATGTAAACTGGATAATTGTGAAAAACCTTTTCTACATTGTTTACAAACATGAGGTTTCTCTCCAGTATGAGTTCGTTCATGCACATGTAAATTAGATAATTGTGAAAAACCTTTCCCACATTGTTTACAAATATAAGGTTTCTCTCCAGTGTGACTTCGTTCATGCCTATGTAAATCAGACAATCCTAAAAAACTCTTTCCACATTGTTTACAAACATGAGGTTTCTCTCCAGTGTGACTTCGTTCATGCCTATGTAAATCAGACAATCGTAAAAAACTCTTTCCACATTGTTTACAAACATAAGGTTTTTCACCAGTATGAGCTCGTTCATGCACATGTAAATTAGATAATTGTGAAAAACTCTTTCCGCATTGTTTACAAACATATGGTTTCTCTCCATTATGAGTTCTTTCATGCACATGTAAATTAGATAATTGTGAAAAACCTTTCCCACATTGTTTACAAATATAAGGTTTCTCTCCAGTGTGACTTCGTTCATGCCTATGTAAATCAGACAATCGTAAAAAACTCTTTCCACATTGTTTACAAATATAAGGTTTCTCTCCAGTGTGACTTCGTTCATGCCTATGTAAATCAGACAATCGTAAAAAACTCTTTCCACATTGTTTACAAACATAAGGTTTTTCACCAGTATGAGCTCGTTCATGCACATGTAAATTAGATAATCGTGAAAAACCTTTCCCACATTGTTTACAAACATATGGTTTCTCTCCAGTATGAGTTCTTTCATGCACATGTAAATTAGATAATTGTGAAAAACTCTTTCCGCATTGTTTACAAACATAAGGTTTCTTTCCAGTATGAGTTCGTTCATGCACATGTAAACTGGATAATTGTGAAAAACCTTTCCCACATTGTTTACAAATATAAGGTTTCTCTCCAGTGTGACTTCGTTCATGCATATGTAAATCAGACAATCGTAAAAAACTCTTTCCACATTGTTTACAAACATAAGGTTTTTCACCAGTATGAGCTCGTTCATGCACATGTAAAACTGGATAATTGTGAAAAACCTCTCCCACATTGTTTACAAACATATGGTTTCTCTCCAGTATGAGTTCTTTCATGCACATGTAAATTAGATATAGACGAAAAACACTTTCCACATTGTTCACAAATATAAGGCTTGTCACCTGTATGACTTCGCTCGTGCCTACGTAAATTGGATATAGACGAAAAACACTTTCCACATTGTTCACAAATATAAGGCTTGTCACCTGTATGACCCCGCTCGTGCCTATGTAAATGAGATAATTGCGAAAAACTCTTTCCACATAGTTCACAAACATAAGGTTTCTTTTTAGTATGAGTTCTCTCATGCCTATGTAAATGAGATAATTGTGAAAAACTCTTTCCGCATTGTTTACAAACATAAGGTTTCTCTCCAGTGTGACTTCGTTCATGCCTATGTAAATCAGACAATCGTAAAAAACTCTTTCCACATTGTTTACAAACATAAGGTTTTTCACCAGTATGAGCTCGTTCATGCACATGTAAAGTAGAAGATACTGAAAAATTCTTTCCACATTGTTTACAAATATAAGGCTTGTCACCTGTATGACTTCGCTCATGCCTATGTAAATGAGATAATCGTGAAAAACTCTTTCCACATTGTTCATGAACATGAGGTTTCTCCCCAGTATGAGATCTCATATGCATACTTGAATTTCTCTTCCATTTTAGGTTCTCCTCATATTGTTGGCAAACATATGGTTTATCTCCCCTGTTGGTTTGTAACTTATTATCGGATTTTCCAGTTGGAACAGCCAACCCACTTTTTCTACTTTGTGCATGAACATCAGAGTTCTCTTCATCACCACTTAGTAAACAACCCTTTCCACAATTCTCGCCGGTGTTGGTATGCTGACTAGTTCCCACATCGTTCTCAGATGGATATTGGTTTAAATCTCCTGTGCCATAATGATTTTCATCATGAAAATGCTTTTCCAGTCCCGATGAAAAAGTGTTCGTCGAAGACAATCTTGGTGGATTCTATGATTTTGGTATAATTTTCCATAATGCAGAATATCTATATAATGATAATAATTTTTTTACGTTTTGCAAACACTGACCATTGTCATATAATAAATGCAAAAATGGCAGCTGAATGTATGTGATTAGTTTGATACTGACTGAAAAAATTTCAGAAGCCCAATCACAGATTTGGAAAACTATGTGATTAACAAATATTCGTATCACTGGTATTGTGATAAGACATCTTAATTGGAGGCTGTGTCATTTATACTTCATATTTAAATCTGTGTTGCTTTTATCAGTACTTACTGTTTCTTCAACAATTCTAATATTTTTGAAACAATACAATTTCATTGAATATACAGTCCAACATAATATTCAATTATATATAATTATCATCAAAACAAATAATTCTTGGTTGAAAATAGGGCTGGCCAAGCAAACCGAATATTCAAAATCGATGCGTTTTTCGGCCAGTTTACGAATCGCTAAAATTTGGTACATAATGCGCCTCATGACCACCTTTGCACCGCTTTTTTCACCAGGCAAGCAAAAACATGTTTCTATCGCTTTCTTTGCTGTAAAAAGGTCTCTCCTATTGCCCGGTGACATGCAGATGCAATTATCCATTTCATGCATGCTCATAAATGAGAAGTAATCGGTAATAATGATTTAAAGCTGACGGTTTTTGAGAGAACACAAGGAGAAAATAGCAGATTTAGTATCAGCAAAAACGCCAGTTCTATAAATAAAAATCGATTTGTAGCTGTTGAGTCAGTATTCATAGGAACATGGTACATGACTGAAACACATTTTGTACGTTCATGCCCTTTTTCAATAGAATTTGTAATTTCTTCTAATGACAATACTTTGTATCATCCATTTATTATTGAGTTAATAATACTAATGATGATAAGAATAAAATATCAACTACGGCCATTAAAAGAGTCCAACTCTTAACACTTGAAAGTTTTCAAAACCCCAATTTTTTGACCAGTTCAAGGAGGCTTGTGGTCTCCTTTTATAACTCTGGAAACATAGTTATGCAAAATATTTGCAATAATTTAGATATAACTGCACATACGTTATCACGATATTGAAGAGGAAGTTTTTTATTGTACATTAGAGATAAGGCTGTCCAAGCGAACCAAATATTCGAAATCAAAAACGAATCGCAAATTATTCGAATCGTTTTTCGGCCAATTTACGAATCGCTAAAATTTGGTACATAATGCGCCTCACGACCACCTTTGCACCGCGTTTGTCACGAGCAAGCAAAAACGTTTCTATGCGCTTTCTTTGCTGTAAAGAGGTCTCTCCTATTGCCCGATGACATGTAATTATCCATTCCATGCATGGTCATAAATGGAAAGTTATTGGTAACAATGATTCAAAGATGACGATTTTTGAGAGAACACAAGGAGAATAAAGCAACTATTGTGTCAGCCAAAAAACGCCAGTTCTATATATAGAATCGATTTGTAGCTGTTGAGTCAGTCATCATAGGAACACCGTACAGGACTGAAACACGTTTTGGAGGTACATGCCCTTTTTCAATAGAATTTGTAATTTCTTCTAATGGCAATACTTTGTTTCATCCATTTTATATTATGACAAATAATTGCACTCTTGTGAGTTGATGGCTGTTGTACAGCAACAATATGGTCATCAAACTAGCTCTGAATTTGTGAGTTCCCGAAATGCTATTTTGAATTTTTTGGGCAACAGTTATATCTATATTAATAGTTGTTTTTCATTTTACTGAAAATTACACAAAAAATATTTGAGTTGATAATACTAATGATAATAGGACTAAAATAGCAGCTACGAGCATTAAAAGAGTCTGTGCAATTTACAACTCGTAAAACTTGATAGTTTTCGAAACCCTAATTTCTCGACCAGTTCAAGGAGGCTTGTGATCTCCTTTTATAACTCTGGAAACATAGTTATGCAAAATATTTGCAATAATTTAGATATAACTGCACATACGTTATCACAATATTGAAGAGGAAGTTTTTATTGTACATGAGAGACAAATTTAGGATTGCGCAATAATATTCGATTATTCGGTTCGATTCGAGAAAAATCAGTAATCAGTAATTTATTTTTTCACCAAACAGAAAAAAACACTTCATGCAAATAAATATAAAATAAAAATAAATAAGGAATTTAAATACGGCATTTCAGGGCGAAAGGAATCGCAAAAAACCAAAACTGGTTAACGAGCAGCGACACCGTGAATTAATCCAACAGAAATATAAACAGAAAAGAGAAAGAAATATTGGTTCGATTCGAATCAAAAGAATATTCGATTTTGGACAGCCCTAATTAGAGATAAATTTAGGATTGCGCAATAATATCCGATTATTCGGTTCAATTCGAATCAAAAAAATATCCGATTTTGGACAGCCCTGGTTGGAAATAACTTCTATGGCCAAATTTTATTTTCCTGCCCAATTGTATATCATGTTATTAATGGATAGCCGAATTATCTATTCTGAACTTTACCTGTGAAGTCTATGGCACAGTACATAAATCTACATGAGCGGAGACAAACTTATCACAACAGTCTCCGCTTGTGGGACAGAATCGAGATAAATCCATAGGCCTGGGATCAAATTTTGATAAAGCTTGAATACAGGATAGGATTTACATATGGGGAAAGAGAGGTGATAAGGTGGCTTAATCATACATGAACCACGGCCTCTCTTCAGGTCACCAGTCCATGTCTGGTACGGTATGGGATTAGTTAGCCAGTTATTTGTTTTCAAGGCATGGACTTGATATATCTAATTTAATAAATGACGAGATACCGGTACCATACACTGCAAAGTGCAAAGGGTGTTAAACTTGTGATAATACATGAATATGATTGAAAAAATCGGACACCCCAGGCTCATATCTATTTAGGCAATTCATATTGTATGATGCAATGCTTTGGAGGGCCACTTTCATATTCGAGCAGGGCTGCCACTTTTGCCTGACTAAAACATCTAGATTGACCTCGAAAAACATCTAGAAAATACATCTAGATATGAAGTCATTGAATTTATTGAAAAGTAACCATAATACAGTATTATTAGATGTCGAAGAAGCTAACATCATAACCTAGAATTCAATTCCCACCCGCAGAATTTACAAAAGACCTTGTTCAGTTGTTCTTATCATCCAGTCATCTGAAGGAGCAAACCATTCCTTAAGCCAATCTTTTCTAAATTTTTGCTGGTAGTGTATATACTTTGGCATTTTGAAAGGTTGATGTTTGAAGAGAGACACATTCAATAGCACATATAGACTTAACCCTTTCCGTGCGGTGGGCACGTATACGTACCCACGACAAAACTCGCTAGATTGCGGCGGGTACGTTGATGTACTCCACTGTTTTATTTAGCAATCGGTCGCAAACTGTTGGTCTAGTTTTTCCGGGTTTCAGTTTATTGATAAGAAGTCTTCTTCGAGATTAACATAAGCGACGATAAATCTGGCTTTCGTTTACCGTGGGAATTTTATTTGCGGTGGAATGAGGGAGTGTTTTTTAAATTTATGCAAATTTCGGTGTTTTTTGGGTGGTAATAGAAGACATATTATCCCTTCCATCTACCAAAGTATTTTGAGTTAGATAGCGAAATTGCTACAGCAATATTATGCTATTGTTTGCCAACCAAGAAGCGGTAACAGTAAAGGATTTAGCGAATATTTCTATTTTTTATTACGGTTTGAAGTTTCAACACCCAAGAAAAATGATGCCTTTTTTCTATCCGATTTGTGACTCAGACCACCCCTTTTAAAAAAAATATTTTTTTTTAATTGCCAATTGCAAGCTCTTTAAATAAGCTTTTCAACGAGCCGTCAGTGGGCAGCAGAGGATCATTACTTTTTCGTTAGTCGATCGATTAGTTGTGGGGGTACAAATGCATAAAGTCGGCGTAGCAAATACGATTATTTTATGAAAAATAAAAATCGCATGGAAAGGGTTAAGTAACTTAATAATTTTAAAACCCTTGGCTAGGGATGGGCAATGTAGAATAATTTACTATTCTAGAATAGTTAAATCGAATCCAGAATACCGAATCCTATTCTATTTTCATACTTATTCAAATAGTGGGAATTTCCACATTGCTAGTTTTAGATGTTAAAAAATTGCAAATGTATTACTTACTATAAATGTATTATTTTATGTCCTGAACATTGGATTTCATTTGATACTAAACAGGCAGTTCCCAGGACAATAAAATTTAGGAATATCACAATATTTTTTGCCTTCAATTGTTCCAAATGTATGTAATCCCTAAATACTAATAAATACTGATATGTTAAATTAAGACACGCTAATAGTAGGCTGTTAAATACAAAAATAGACATGAAACGGCTTTAAATCATTATTACTGTAAGTATGTCGAGTGTACGAAAACATACCGGCTGAATTAATTAGATGCATAACCAGCGTGTGGCCGCTGCAACCTATGCGCCGTTGTAAAATATTAAATTTAACCACTATCAATTAAAATCAACTTTTTATTCTGTGCGAGCAAGACACGTAAAACCAAGTTCCCGTAAATGTGATTTCGTACTTAGTTATTAGGTAATAACATCTAAAGAAGAATTCATTTTCTATGATTATCGTTACATATCATTATCTACCCAGACTTGGCCCTACTCAAATTCAATACGTCACTATCTTCGCCAGATGAGGCAACTTTTTTCTAAATTCATCGGCGACTAAAATACTACAGACACTCGATCAAACGTGCATCTATCTGGAACGATAGAAATGTTCTCAATAATAATATACCCAGACTTAGCCCTACTCAAATTCAATATGTCACTATCTTCGCCAGATGCGGCAACTTTTTTCAAAATTTATCGGCGACTAAAATACTACAGACACTCGATCAAACATGCGTCTATCTTAAACGATAGAAACCGACCGCAAAATATGTAATCTTTTGAGAGTGAAATTTAAATGTGACAGATGTTCGCGTTTTGCGATATAACTTTGTATTTCGGAAAATGGTATAATAAAATTATTTGAAATAATATTTGATCTAAATTAATCGCAAGTGATGTTATAACATTTAACGCCTGGCTTTTGCTTTACGTGCATCATTTTTTGGGAAAACTCGTAGGTCGCGAAAAATCATTTAATTTAAAATGAAGCAATGCACGTCTGTAAACAATTAAAGATTGTTGCATTCAGATTTCAGATCATCGGAATATCACCAGTAAGTCGGCACAGATAATTATCATTATCATACGCTAGCTAGATAGCAAAGCAGGAAAACGCAAAAATGGTGCAATAACGAGTCTTCGCCTTGAGGTTATATTGCCGACTGTCCTGAATATGCCGATTGAAATTACAGTGTTTGATGTTTACCGATTTACGGGCTCTTTGCGAGCAGACGTAAGTTTAATTAAACGAGAGAGATTTCCCCGCGAGAAAAACGCTCGTCTATAATTGATAAATGAAAAACCTGAAATACAAAAATTGACGCATGGCGTCGGAAAGGCGGAAACCGAATCCTGTTATCGGATCCCATTGGATTCGAATACTTTGGGATTCGAATCCTCCGGATTCGGTATTCTATATTGCCCATCCCTACCCTTGGCAACATCATCATCAGACCAACGTCGTCGTCCTTTCTACTTAACGTTAATTAAAACGTCACATGTTTTAAACATGTTTAATTCGTTATTCAAATATTTCAAGTGATATGACTGTATGGTACCGGTGGACGAATACAATATGAATGAGTTTTATCGTAAATATATACTGTTTTATCAATCTTACATCGATACTTCTAAATAATGAAATAATATTCATCCACCTACCGGTATTACAGTATTCATGTATTACACACATTTCTTTATTTATTTCCCACTGAATAATATTTAGAACCTTGAAAAAAAAAATATCTAGATTTTATAGCTAACATCTAGGCTCCAAATTTAGATCTTGAAAAAACATCTAGATCTAGATATAAACATCTAAAGTGGCAGCCCTGTATTCGAGCTTCCTGAACGCAGAACACCGGGGCAGTCGATTTTGCCTGATCGCTGAAGCAACTGTCACAGATTTTTTTAAATTAATCCTACGCGGAAAAATTACGTTTGTTTTTAAACAAACAATCAATATCCAAAATAGGTGTATCGGCTTCTTTGTGTATTTCTCCTGCTTTTCGAATCAGGAATCAAAAAAAAAAAAAACGATAGGTAATGTAAATATACGGTAGTACTGTCAATAAAACTTCAATTTTTGCAACTGTCATTGATTTGAGGAAAGAGTTCCGATTTTTTGTTATTCTTTCTTCGTATGATTGTGTTTAATTAAGTACATGTGTTAACATAATATTGGGTTGTTTTTGGACACGTAGTGGACATAACGATCGTTTCAATATTATGTTGTTGTTGTTCTTGTTCTTTGACACGTTTTTAAAAAGTCGCTTTTCTCTTCGAATACTGGACCAATTGCTTTGAAATTTTCAGTGGTTAAAGATTAATTTTTTAGAAGGCTATTACTTTTGTTTATTCTTAAATTTTATATGAATCCTATGAGATATGATATTTCATACAAAATTTCGCGGTATTTATTTTTACTCATGGGAACACTGTTTTACACCTATTTCAAGCTGTTTCGCGATCGATTGTCTTGCTCAGTACTACAGCTACTGTAGGTCGGTACTGGTAAGTTGCCATACCGGTACCGTAACGCAGTGAAATTGACTTATTCCTTCCGCGGTATTACTAATGCTGCAATGCAAGTTTTATAGCCTATCGTATGCGGAACGGAATATCAGACCTACAGGTTCGGTACCGGTACTGGTAGCTCAGTACGTAAGTACGATACTGGTACTGGTGCCGGTGTCTTACCACAATGAAATTACCGTAACTTATTCTTTCACGGTCCTACCAGTGCAGTAATGCAAGCGTTGTAGCACTTGTAGCCTACTATATTTGTTTATTTTGATGAGAGTCTACTGGAAACAACATAAAATTTGAAAGGGAAGAATTGTTCTGTGATCAATTACCGTATATGGCCTACAGTGTACAGGTAACATGCTGGCTGACTGCTAACCGGTACTGGTAGCTCAGTACGTAAGTACGATACTGGTACTGGTGCCGGTACCGGTGTCTTACCACAATGAAATTACCGTAACTTATTCTTTCACGGTCCTACCAGTGCAGTAATGCAAGCGTTGTAGCACTTGTAGCCTACTATATTTGTTTATTTTGATGAGAGTCTACTGGAAACAACATAAAATTTGAAAGGGAAGAATTGTTCTGTGATCAATTATCTGTCCTAAAGTGTAAACAACATAAAATTTGCAAGGGAACAACTGTTCTGTGATCAATTACCGTATATGGCCTACAGTGTACAGGTAAGATGCTGCCTGACTGCTAACTCAGTACCGCTTGACACGTTTTTAAAAAGTCGCTTTTCTCTTCGAATACTGGACCAATTGCTTTGAAATTTTTAGTGGTTGAAGATAAAAATTTTCTCCAGAAGGCTATTACTTTTTTTTTCGCTATGACGTCATCAAAATTATGTGACTCTACGTGTCCATATATTTGAGCATAGCTCTCTTGTTATATTCTATTTTCTGCATAAATTCAACTGCATGATGTCGCTGACTAGATGACGCATTGAGTCTTTCGCGACCCATCGTCAACTGCAACAAGCCGATTTCCGTTTTCGCAATTTATGTTTAGTACCGAATGCTCAAAACTTCGCAAAATTAATCCCATAGAGCTCACAGATATATTTTTCTCAACAACAGTATAATATCAGAACGATCCATAAGTCTAATTGGCGTCCAAAAGACGATGAGATACTCCTGTATGGGTTTCTGTACATTGTGGAGTATCCTGTGAGCTGCCGAATTTGATTATTCCCTCTATGTGTGTGTAATGGATCTTGCTCAACAAGTTCGTCAACTTGAATACCTCTATTTGGAAAAATGCTCGAACGGCTTCTAAAATTAACATAATGGTTTTCGGCGTCTTCTTTCACCCTGGAATGCAATTTTTTCATATTTTCTTCACTTTGTGTATGTATCGTTCGTACTTCCAGCCTGGTGAAGAAATAAATTGGTGGTAACTGGTTTTGGCTGATCAGCCATTGTTACGGCAAGAATTAAGAAAGTCAACGTTTTTAACATGAATACAATGAATTACATTTGTAAAAATATAATTTCAAATTTTATTGATAATACTGTAAAATATTCATTAACTAATTGTTATCTTTCGTTTTGATTTCAAAAACAGAGTACGTACAAGGAAGTTTTTTTCTATGTATGTGAAGTTTGCCATTTTTAAATGCTGAATATTTTTCACTATCACGGATATCACATAGAAATTTGAAAAACACATCAAAAATCGGTTTGTGCTTCTGAATTCGGCATCTATATATATAGAAACGGGTAGCCAATAATACACAGTTAACAAATTGCAAATTAAGAATATCATCAAACCCTATGAAACATTCTTTTATACTAAGACTAAAATTCAAATTCTCAGTTTTGAAAACTATCCATTGGTCTACCCAATGACATTAAACAACATGATAGGCAACTCTGACGTCACTCCATAAGACTACAGGCAAAACCAGGGCTGGGGAGTCGGAGCTGGAGCCATGGAGCCGTGACATTTTGATGGAGTCGGAGTTGGAGCTGAGCTGGCCATGATAGATGGAGCTGGAGCAGAGCCGGAGCTGCCAGAAATTTCAGCGGCTCCAGCTCCTGACAATAGAATTATTTTTTTTTTTTACTTTTCTGGTTTTTTAATAATTTCTAGGGTTGAGAAATAATAATTACGATTTTAATTCTATAATTTCTGGCGTCTCCAAACACTTAACAGAACTAAATAGTTGTATAATTACCGGTATCAAGTTACTATTGTTCTAAAGTAAATAGTGTTGGATTATATCACGGATCTTGGTATTTTTAAACGGCGATAACGATTTGCAAGATCGCAAAAATATGAATCAAAATTAATTATAATCGGGCAGTTTTCCACACATTTTACGTCCGTAGCTTGTCATTTATGTCAGAGATGCTTTTATTATTTCGTAAGTCGACGCAACATTGAGTTACTTTGAACAGAATAAAAACAATAAGGCAAGTGCTGGTATCGGTAATGGGTTACATTTTTAGCACAATAGGAAATTATTTTCTGACAAGTCGTTTTTTTTAAAATATTATAAACAAAATTATTCGCCAAAGCGCAGGAAAAAGTATAAATTATATTTCCTAATCTTCCCAATAAAGCAACTTATTTTTCCGACTTGCGAAAGTTTATTGGGGTATCGTAACAAAACGTATGAAAACAACTTATTTAATATATGACCTTGGTTGGATCTAAGCGAGACGTGTGAACATAATAATATTCAAATTTTGATTTCACTTCCATTCGCTCGCGGGATTGGCAAGAATAAACGCTTTGCGGGAAGGTTTTCTAAAAGTGAGTGCGTTTAGTTATTAATAATAACTTTACATAATTAATAATTTCCCGACGTAACTGGAAATAAATGCGAAAATGGCGACAATATCCACCATGCAACCGTGAAAGAATGCTGTAACGCGCACTGAAAAATGAATATATATACCAAACAATCTAACAATTCTATTTTGTCGTCTTAAAAACACATGACAAAGTGCATAAAATCGTTTGAAGATTTTGCACGGAAACGAAACAAACAAACAGCTTGCGAAAAGTGACTATTACTTTAAAATTTGAAAAAGTATCGGAATACTTTGATATAGCAATATGGACTGATAAAGTTATTTTGTCGTGAAAAATAGCGGTAATGCATTCTGATATACTGTTTTCTGTGAAACTTAAGTTTCATGCTTGAGAACTACAAGCAGTCGCGGTCGTTAACGGGGTTGCACACTTAATTCATTTTTTGCTATACGATCAAATTACCATATATATATGTATACTAATATTTATTGATGTCGATTAGTGGCCAATGCAACCGGCTATTTTACGATTACCTGATTACAACTCCTCACTGCTTTTCTTTTTCTAATAAATGGTATTTACTGGCAAGTGTTAAAAATACTTTTGTAGATAAAAAAAAAACAGACGACTTAAATTTCTTAGAAATATTATTTGCGAATATTTCGGCGATCTAAAAAACCTCATTGCCGCTAACGACTACTAAAAAACAAAACTATATTGCAAAGAGGGGCGTTTTGACTATTTGGGAATCCCTAAATATTATGTAATATTTCCGAATTTAGATCTGAAGTGTCGTATATAAGGTTAGGTCATGGGCTTTCTCAGCTTGGTTGTATATAACGTAAAATGGATTCCGAAAAAAATGCGATTGTTTTCTTGTCTTCGTCTCATAAATTGCACCGCGATATAATGATGCGACGCGGTAGGTCACATGGAGTGTGTTCAGTGGATTTAGTCGAAATCGGGATTGCGCAATAATTGATTGTAGTACAGGTGTGGCTTTCGCAATACATCGGCAATTGTGGACAAGAAAAAAGCGATTGGCCGATCGCTAATTTACCTTTGTGACGTAACTAACAGTAACGACCACGTAGACATGTCTGGGCATGTTCAAGCAATGCTGAAACATGACATGCTGGCTTGCATGCCTAGGTGTCGGAATGGCCAGTTGATGTATATTGTATACGATACAATTTCTCGCTTGTAGAAAATGCTTACCTAATCTTAATGCCATTCATGACAATATAATAATATTTCATTTTATTACTTATCGATCTTAAGATCGGTAAGTATATTGATAGGTATTTGTCTGTATGTCTGTCTGTGTGTGTGTCTGTTAGATGCACGCGATATCTCACGAAAGCGAGATTGAATCTGCTCCAGATTTTGCATGTGCATTCATCTTATCTCGGACCAGAGGCCTATTTATTTTGGGCGAATTATGTCGTATAATTAGCGAGTTATCAATCAATTATTGATATAGTGATCTAGATTTTTGTAAAGCGAGAGAATTTTGAAACCCGCCGAGTGTGTGTGTGCGATGCGCAGTGCGCAAGTTACAAGAGCGGATGAATCGAAACTGCAGTTTCTGTTTTGGGGGATCCCCTAACTATCGATCGATAAGTCTTCGGTTTCAAACCGATATTCTCGTTATGTTATTATTATATTTAATATTATGTGTTTTCTGGTTGACGAAATAATAAATTCTTTCTCTCTCTCTTTAATACTTGGCAGATTAGTGCATTTTTATCTCCACTCTCTTTGAAATATTTGAACACTGCGGACTTTTTACTTTTGCAAGCCATGGTACAAGGGTTGCATTCTTAGTTTTTTCTTACAAATTAATTTTCTCTAATTTAATATTAAATAACATTTAAAACGAGAATATCGGTTGGAAACCGAAGACTTATCGATCGATAGTTAGGGGATCCCCCAAAACAGAAACTGCAGTTTCGATTCATCCGCTCTTGTAACTTGCGCACTGCGCATCGCACACACACGCTCGGCGGGTTTCAAAATTCTCTCGCTTTACAAAAATCTAGATCACTATATCAATAATTGATTGATAACTCGCTAATTATACGACATAATTCGCCCAAAATAAATAGGCCTCTGGTCCGAGATAAGATGAATGCACATGCAAAATCTGGAGCAGATTCAATCTCGCTTTCGTGAGATATCGCGTGCATCTAACAGACACACACACAGACAGACATACAGACAAATACCTATCAATATACTTACCGATCTTAAGATCGATAAGTAATAAGTGAAACAAAAGTTTTCGGTATGACTGGGAGGTAACGATACGACCAGTTACGGTCATCTGAGTCAGTTACCACCCAATACAACACATGAATAAATACATAAATTGACACAGGTTCTTTTTTTTTAACTCTCAGTTTATAGAGAACTATTTACACTATTTACAAAACGAGGATAAATTTTGGATTCATCTAATCAGGGTTGGGAATTTATTGTGAAAAATGACACATTTATAACAGTAACATAATGTGGTTTTTGTTTTAAGTTAATTTAATGGTAGAAAAAGAGGAGTGCATTTCCAAAATAGATACTTAATTCTAAATGAGCCTATATATGAGAATTAATTAGTACATCATATTAACACTATGAAAAAATAAAAAAAATAATACTACAATAGTACATAAATAGACATATGCAAATTTAAGCAGATATGATTTATTAAACACAAAGATGAGACAGTTACAATAGTCCAAAAACCATTTCAAATCTTACAAAAATTCATAGTCTACCCCAAACGAAAACTTTGGTAGTAGTAGTATAAAAAAATGGTTAAATTTATTAAGATATCGCATATCGATAAATTTTAATCACACTCACAGTTAATTAAATAATCCATAACAACCGCTTAACAGTAATTGACAATGTAATTATATTGAGGAGCATCACATGAATTTAAAAAGTCACTTAGCGGAGCAGTTTTGGGTTACTAGGGTGGTATAACACCAGACCTAATGTTGTGCATAGATAGGATAGCAGAAAATGAATGGAAATGTTTGCAGAATGATAAATGATAATGCATGAGATATATATAAAACAGTGGATTAATTTGGTTACTCCCAAACGTAAACTTTGGTGGTAGGGGGTATCAAAAAATTGCCAAATTTAATAATTTATTGCAATATCGATAAATGTGATTAAATAAACCATAACAACCACATAATGGTAATTGAAACAGTAATTATATAATATCAAACCTATTGTTGAGCATAGGTGGGATATCAGAAAATGATTAGAATTGTTTGCAGAATAATAAAATGACAGGAATGAAATATACATAAAACGATGGATTAATTTGGCAGGATAGACCAAGAATAATACATACAAGTACACTATAGTCTAATTGTAGGGCCAAAAGAGGCCAGTTTCCAGCCATTGTAGCATGAACCGCAATTAAGGAGTGGAGGAATATATTAGAATGTAGCAAGTGAGTTTTATGATTAGAGAATAAAAAATTTATATAACAATTATATTAACGCAATTAAACAAGTTATGAATATCAATTTTAGACAAACCATGAATTCTTGAATCGTCAAAAGTAAACTGGTTGTTATAATGAAATGGTATTGCGATTCACATTCAACAGTGCATGCTTTTTTAACTATAACATATGAGATTTAATATGAAATTCACAATATGAAATTCTGATTACACTACACATCTAATTATTAAAATGAATTAGGAATACTGCATTGTATAATGAAATTCATTTAGGTTCTCACCTTCAGATTTACCCAGTTAGCCCAGGTCATTGACTACTGAAAAGCATAATAACCACATATTTAAAATTTGCACATGTATGTGTACATCTCAGGAATGTCTAAGCCACTATGTAAATATATATGATGCCGTACATGAAGAGCATGTAGCAAGTATTGATAAATCTTGAACCTTGGTTTGGAAAGAAGAATAGAGTGAATAAATATCACAAAATGCTACAAAAAATGTATCCTACATAATTCCAAGATCTAGCTAGGTTTCAAAACATATTGACTTGCAATTTGTTAGCCATATAGTTGGATTATACCATGACACATACAGGGTGGCTCAAAAGTAGGTATACAGTTATTAAATTAATAACTATGAACTATCAGGCACTAGTCATATGTGTAAATCCACTAAACCAATACATGGAGAACAAGTTAAAATAAGCATATTAGACACATGTCCACATCAGTATCCCATTGAAATTGGAGGACTTAAACTTTGCATTTAATATTTGGATATGATGTATTTCATGAACTCAAATTTAAATTTTTTGTACGAGAAAGTTTTTGGAATGTCTGCGATATCATTCCAAATTTTAGGGCCTATGAATTTGATAGAATTTTGAGCAAATTTTGAATTTGTTCGTGGAATAAAAAATGCTCCCTTAGAAGCGGAACGAGTACCATAAGAATGCACAGAACTACAATCACTAAAATACAAGTCAAAGGCCTCTGGCAACATACTATGCCTGATTTGAAACATTAATTTAGCAATTTCATAGATATAAACATCATTTAATTTTAGGAGGTTCATACGCTTGTAAATGGGGCTCATACTATGATGCAAAGGAGTATTGGTCATAACCCGAAGAGCTCTATTTTGTAATACAGTTATAGCATTAAGTCTAGTTTTATCAGCGGAACCCCATGCCACAATTCCATACTGTAAGTGCGAATAAAAGAGAGAAAAGTAAACAGTTCGCATGATTTTTTTAGGAATCAAATTTTTTATCCTTGTCATTATTCCTACAGACCTAGATAGTTTCAATTTCAGGGAGTTGATGTGTCGGTCCCATTTGAGCTTGTTATCTATGAATATTCCAAGGTATTTAACTGCGTCATGCACGTTTAGTCTAACACCACTTAGAGTAAAATCAGGACAATGTGGATACTTGATATTTTTATTATAGGGATGATTTATTAGTAGTACCTGTGTTTTCTCAGGATTTATAGTTAACTTATTAGATTTCATCCAATTAGATATATTTTGTAAGTTTATTTTGACTAGATTGGACAAATCAAAGATACTGGAAGATATTTACGTTATGCTTGTGTCATCAGCGAAAAGTTTGAATATTCCTGAACTACAATTAACTACATCATTTATATAAACAAGAAAAAGGGTTGGGCCGAGAACTGAGCCCTGGGGCACGCCAACAGAAACAAGTTCATGAGGTGATTCATTGGCAGAGACAGTGACAAATTGATTTCGACCGTGCAGGTAACTAGAAAATAGTTTACTCACAATACCGCGGATCCCATAATGTTTCAATTTGCTTATAAGTATTTTGTGATCAACTGTGTCAAACGCCTTTTTTAAATCCAAAAATATACTACAGCCAACCAAACCCTTATCAACGATTTCATAATATTTACTAATTATATCTAAAATTGCATGTGTAGTCGAGTGATGATTTCGAAAGCCAAATTGATCGCTATTAATAATAGAGTGTTTATTAAGGAAATTTTGGAGGCGACTAAGCATCAACTTTTCAAAAACAATAGAGAAGCATGAAAGTATAGAGATGGGTCGATAATTGGATACATTATTTTTTTTTCCAGATTTATAAACGGGAACAACTCTGGCAACCTTAAGATGATCTGGAAATATACCAAAAGAAACAGAGTAATTGAAGAGTTTGCAGAGAACTGGACTAATTGTACTGCACAAAAGTTTCAGGAGATAAGCTGGAATATGGTCATACCCGGTTGCTTTGTTAGTTTTTAAAGAATTGATTATATTTACTACTTCATTCAATGAAGCATCTTCCATAAACATAGACAATTTGTTTGGAGCGCTCATGAATTTTAGATGCTCATTATTGCTCACATCCTGAAAAGCCGAAGACAACGTTTGCCCAATCTGTGAAAAATACTTATTGAACATTCTTGATATTATGCCACTGTCATGAACTACCTCCCCTGAATGCTGATCAATTAGTTTTTGAGGAACGTTATTGCTTGATTTAGAATTTATTAAGGAATTTATTGTGCTCCAAGTCTTTTTTGGATCATTTATATCATTTTCAAAGCGCTTTGCAAAATATATCTCCTTAGCTTTCTTTTTCAAGTGGCACAATTTGTTGGCGTATTTCTTATAGTGCAGTTTTTGTTCAGATGATCCGTTAATAAAATGAGTCTTATGCAATTTGTCTCTGGCTTTGGTCGAACGCATAATGCCACTTGTTATCCAAGGTTTTTTCTCTAGATTACGTTCTTTTCTAGTAAGTTTTCTTAATGGTGCATGCTTATCACACACGTTTAGGACTTTAGAAATAAAATCGTTAAAACATGAATTGAAATTATCAGCATTAACATTAGAAAATGGATTAGAGTTAAAAAGATTTTGAGCGTCTTGAATAAAGTTAACATCAACAAACTTTCATGTCACGTTTCATTTTTGGTGGGAGTGGGAAGATGCATGACTAAGTTGAATCTGACAAAAAATAGGGTAATGGTCTGTCATGCAATTTTGCCAAACAATAGAGGAAACACATTTTTCAGATATATTGCAATAAATATGATCTATTAAAGTAGCGGTTGAACTGGTTACTCGAGTCGGTTGGGTTATTACTGGAATTGTGGCGTGAGACATCAACATTTCAAGAAAACTTCTTGTAAATGCTGAGGAGCTTAACAAGTTAATATTAATATCACCTAATATAATAAATTTCTTTTTGTCAATTACCAATTGGTACAGAGTATTGCTAAGCGCAGCCATAAAGTCAGATTCGCTGGATCTTGGGTGTCGATACACCACACCAAGAACTATCGAAGAAGAATTTTCAATGTGAATAGGTATTTCAACCCAGAGATCTTCGCATGAGTTAACATTCAGAGTATATTTATGCAACACTGAAGGATTTAGATGTGACCTAACATATAATCCAACTCCACCAGCTTGCGTTTTTGTTGGAGTATGTAAAAAATCATAACCTTGAATATCTATATTAACAATTGGGTCAGTTTTAAGTTTTGTTTCAGAGAGAGCTATTACAGTTGGGAATGAATTTAGATTAAGTACAATGTTGGACAATTCATCTATATGCTTTTGTAGTGAGCGAATATTAAAATGAGCCAGAGTAAATTGATTTTTAGGTGCACCAGAACAGCCTAAGGTATCATATACATTGTCAAAAATCTCGAACGACAAACATTGTTCAACATTTTCAAAGTTAAAATTAGATGTATCAAGTGGTTCTAATTTTTTGTCAAATACATAGGGGCAAGTATAAAATGGAAAAGTACATTTTAAACAAGTAGAGCAAAGACAATCACAGCTTGTAAGCAAATTATCAGAACAATTGAAGCAAAATCGCTGAGTGGCCATTTTACTGACCTAATATGCAAAAGATATCAACAGACTATTTAGGATAGATTTTCAAGATCTGAGAGCTCTGATATTGGAATTCTGGGACTATCTTTAGATTTGCGCATGAAAATTTTGCCATTGGTTGTCCACAGCCTCTCATACATTTTAGATTTTTTCACCAGTCTTGAGTTATATAAAAGATTATTCCTAAAAGGTGTGAGATTTTCATTTATGTAAAGTGAGACCATACCTGTTATACCAAAGTCCTTGATTTGAGAAGCATCAAACTTTTTAGCTATGAATTCATTTTTTTTATTTCTGTTAGTGAATCGAACAATGATCGGTCCAGTTTTAGAACTATCTCTCCTTGGAAGACGATGCGATACCGAAATGTCCAGTCTTTCCACAGTGATGCCCAGTTTTTTCCCAATTTCTACAACTATGTTATCTGTGTTTTCGCCTTCCCTGAAGGAAATCCCATGAAATTCAATATTTTCCCTTCTCACGTACTGTGCAAGGTCCTCAAAATCATGGTCGAATCGGTGCTTAAGAGAATTAAACATACTTAGTAAGTATTCATTTTTGGCAGACAGATTCCTCACCACCTGGTCCAGCTTAACAATGTAATCTTTCTGGATCTCAAACTCTGCATTAATAAACTCCTGGCTGGCTTTTACTGTGCAGAGATCAGTGGCAAGATTACAATTTTTGAGACGCAGACCATCTAGTTCTTCAGTTACTTTTGAAAATTTCTCTACCAGCTGGTCACTTTGAAGAAACATAGCCTCCAATTTCTCAGTCATCTGCTGCGTGTTATTCAGGACTGATTCATTAATATGAGTTAAAATCTTTTTGTCGTGTTCACTTATTGAGTCATCTAGTAGGTCCCTTATGCTTTCTTCCACTATTGCTTTTATTTCTATTTTTAAATTTTTTGTAATTCGCGATTCCAACAACTCCAGCTTTGTATTCAATTGATCAAATTTCCCCTCCATTTTATCAGATGAAATTATCAAGTAGTCTAAGTTAGTTTTAAGTATATACAAGAACCTGTGAAATCTTAAACAGGGAATAATGACAACTCAATCCAATCTACCATAAACTTCAAATTATAAAACTGACAGATATTCATAAAATAGAGGTACTGAAACTGATGCATTAACATCATAACAATAAACTCCCTGTCACATTTACTCATTATTTCTATAAGCAAAGTAATATTCATTCACATAGTACACAGTCTTCTGCCCATGGTTCTTACTATGTGCATCGTTTCACCACCAAACTAACACAAAATTCAATAAAATATTTAGGTGTTAAATTATGGAACTCTTTGGCTGATAGTATTCGAAACATGAATTACGATGCATACAAACAAGCATTGAAAAAGGTATACCTAGGCGGCTATATACTTGATCCGTCAGCTTTTCAAATAATATGATTTCCTTTTCTGGCGTATTGTATATATCAGTATATAGACGTTCATATAGTCTCCGTAACGTACGGCACCCTTCCGGTCTTGATGCCTCGCCCTGTTACCGGTACTGTGATGGGATATTGTTCCGTACAAATTCCGATTTACTTGAATTCTTGCTGTTACCATATCCAGTTATTTTTTGTGTGATCCTACTCCACTAATAAAATGGTCCTTACGTTTCGTATCCAATATGCCTCAGTAGGCTACAACAATGACTTTAAACAACATGATAGGCAACTCTGACGTCACTCCATAAGACTACAGGCAAAACATTGTATTTCATGATACGCTCCAATGCACATATTTCTCGTCGCCTTTCGCGTCCGTTTTCCGCTCGCTTTTGCTACTCGGCGTCTTTTTTACGTGTAGTACCTGCCTTTTTGCGCCTGAAACGAAACAAAATAATCTCTATATCTAAGAAGTTTTGCTTACTTGGAAAGCTGGAATAACAGGCAAGCTGTAAAGAGCAATTCTGGACATCATAGACGTTTTTTTTTATCAGAGAAGATTACAAACGCGATAGCGGAAAGATTTGTGTGGAACATTTTGCAGATAATGACAAAGTTCAAAGTTAGTAATTTTAATGTTGGCGCTTAATCATTGAAATTTCATTTAAAGAGGGTGTCATACAAAACTGTGCTGCGATACAATTCCATAACACAAAGTTTGCACCTATCGAACTTGCTTTTGTAGGTGAATTTATTAGACATATTACATATTCAGTTAATCGTAGGTAACATTGCTGGTACATAATGCATCGTAGATAGGTTTGTTTAAATTTAAGAATTTAGCTCATAGCCCACTAATTAATATTATCTTCTATGCAGGAGGTTGCAGGGCTGAATTCAACTTGCAGCCTTACCGATCACCTGACGATGCTCATTTAGTTTGGCTCGAGCAAGTCTTCTTGAAATGCTTGTGTGGATAGAAACTACCTATATTTTTTGACTTCCTCCGATTTTAGACAAATTTATTCTGAGGGATTTCGCATATAATTCTCACTGATTGTTGGCTGTTTATAATTCCTATTGAATGTGAATTCTGATTATAACAATGAGTTGAAATTTTTTTTACCTAATTTACTGGCACCTTTTTCTTGTCAATACTCCAAGCTGAGGTAATAAACATGACAATACATTTATGTCATCTGGAAGCAAAATATGCACACTAATTAATAGTTTGGCACATTGAGATAATACATCATGACAGGAAATACAAGTTAAAGATATGTATGACCATCACATGGTAATTAAAATTAAAAAAAATTAATAGGGGCTGTGGAGTATGGAAAGTTCAAGACAAAGAAAAGAACAAATGTTCATAGCTCATGAACTCTCAATTTTGCCTCAATTGCTTTGTGAAGGCCAATATATTTCGAGTGGCTGAATTGGTTTACCTTTATGATAGCAACGATTTTCTATTTAATATAGCGAGATTATTTCAACTTAATTGAAGTGATATAATTTCCCAAAGCAATGCTTGAATCGTCTAGAATAGATCAGTGGTGTCAAACTCATGGGTTTTCGAGAGCCGCATTGCATTTTGAAAATTGTAAAAAGAGCCGCAAACAGTTTTTGATAATGTATACTTAAAAGATATTTTTAAGATAGTTTTAGTTTGTGACATATATTGTGATGCAACTAAACAGTTGGATTAAGTTTTATTATTTTCTTCAATTTCAAATGCAATTACATATTAATATTTGCATTCCACTATTATTGCAACATTTGCAAGTTACAGTATTTATTATAAAAAATCGTAAAATTCTATGTACAACCATCAAAATCATTTTTGAACAAGCTTTGAATAAGGAAAGAATAATACATACACTAAAAATAACTTATCTAAATATATGAACCTAAAATTAACAAAAATACTACAGTATAAACTCAATGTTTTAATAATTACATTTGTCCTGGCGTGTGGCATCTTTTTGTGTCACCAGCATACTAAGGCCAGTCTGAAATGATTTTATAGTACCAACTCTAACTAACGAGGCCACATGATCATGGGTTTATCTGGATCTTTACGAATGTTTAATTAATTCCAGTAATGCAAAAAAGTTACTTTTATCATTTCATGTATAGATCAGTAAAAAAACAAATGACAGATTTTTTCGACAAGACATTTCGCACTACATTGCGTGGCATAGGATTGCTTGAATTATTATTGATATTGATTTTTAGTAACTAAGTCGTTGTATAATTATATTAATATACAAACACATGGAAATTTTCTGTTCGAAGTTGGTCTTCGAATTTGTCATATTGACTGCTGAGCTCATTGTGTTTTTTGATTGTATTGATGGAAATATGACAAATTAAACAATGTGCTTCAGAATTTTGTGAAGAGCAGAAATGTTACAACTCCCATTTTCTTCGAAAATGCCACCTTCTTCATGTACTTTGCGTTTAATTTAATTACTCAAGTGTTTTATTCAAGTATTCTTTTGCTAGCTTGATGTGTATTCTTAATTGAGTCAAAATGTGAACAAAAAAAAAATAACTTAGTGTAGTCAGTGACCCGTAATCCTCATTTTTCAAAGCTGTTTTAAGTATGTCTGGCATGTTTTGTGCCTTTTTACAAAGAAGACCGCTTTTGGAATTTTTAGTTATTTCTCTCAAGCCCTGCAGGATGTAGGGGCCATACACAACTTTACCGGAGGGTCAAATGTCTTTGCATTCCTCCATAGGTTGTTCTTCTATTGCAAACATTTATGGAGTATTCTAATCATATTTTTTGGAATCAAACTGTCACTGATACGTCGCCAGACTTCTGATATCTCCCCTTCTGCTACAGTTGTCCTGTGAATAAATAATAGGAAATTGAGGTTAGACGAATAGTTGAAAGTTTTGTTTTATGTCGGCCTAATTTTTCTCGGCCTCTTGTGCTGCAGGAGTCTCACAATGCTTAGACAGGTCTGTCCACAACTTTCACATCTGTAGGAGAGGAGATTTATTAATTTTCGTTAAGAATAAATAAAGCAGTCTATATGATTCAGAATGGAAAAGCTAATAAATCCAATATCTTATGTTTTTTGTAAAAAATGTTTTACTGAATTTGGTATATAAACCAACTAATAAAGGGGTTTAGTCAGAAAATTATAAGCATTCGTGGCTCCAAATACTTGAGAGATCAGACTATACAATATAGACCGGTATGAGTGAAATTTTAGGTGAACTTGTTAACCCTTTGATTCAATACGCAAATAAAAGTGAATGAGCAATATTATGTTACAGCAATAAGTATATATCCTCACTGATTAAAAAAATCTAAATGGAGGTGCATGAACTATTTGAAACCATAAGGGGTAAGTAAATATGCAATTTCGGCAGATGGCCAACTACGTACCGTACTGAATTATAAACTTCGTAGTATTTGACAAAAGCTGGCTTTCCCGCATGTACTTAACAGTGCGATGCCCGGGTGTGATATACAACAATAGTATTTACCTTACTTTTTTCCGATTTCTTTTTACCTTCAATTTTCCAAATATCATTAAAAACCACAACAACTATCGAAGCAGGCTCGAACACCATTCGTGCTATGCCTTGAAAGCAACACACATCCGCTCGTTTTCGTCTCGTCAAGTATGTGCATTGGAGCGTGCTATCAAATACGATCTTCGGCCAAAAATGCCGGAGTTGCGCATCATGTTGTTTAATGTCATTGGCTACAACAACCAGCTTTTGATGTCGCTGACTCGATGACTGTCACAGTCTTTCGCGACTCCTTATCTATTGCTATGAATCTCTCACTTGTATGAATTCTGATGTGTATATTTAATTTTTTACGATTGTCATTATACACGTAGGGATGGGCAATATAGAATACCGAATCCGGAGGATTCGAATCCCAAAGTATTCGAACCCAACGGGATCCGATAACAGGATTCGGTTTCCGCCTCTCCGGCGCCAAGCGTCAATTTCGGGTTTCTAATTTATCAATTAAAGACGAGCGTTGTTCTCGCGTGGAAATCTCTCTCGTTTAATTAAACTTGCGTCTGCTCGCAAAGAACCCGTAAATCGGTAAACATCAAACACTGTCATTTCAATCGGCACATTCAGGACAAGAAGTCGGTAATATAACCTCATGGCAAGGACTCGTTATTGCACCATTTTTGCGTTTTCCTTCTTTGCTATCTAGCTAGCGTTATTTGTGCCGACTTACTGGTGATATTCCGATAATCTGAATGCAACAATCTTTAATTGTTTACAGACGTGCCTTGCCTCATTTTAAATTAAATGATTTTTCGCGACCTATGAGTTTTCCCAAAAAAATGATGCACGTAAACCAAAAGCCAAGCGTTAAATGTTATAACATTACTCGCCATTAACTTAGATCAAATATAATTTACGAATAATTTTATTATACCATTTTCCGAAATACAAAGTTATATCGCAAAACGCGAACAACTGTCACATTTAAATTTCACTCTCAAAAGATTGCATATTTTTCTGTCCGTTTCTATCGTTCAAGATAGACGCACGTTTGATCGTGTGTCTGTAGTATTTTAGTCGCCGATAAATTTTGAAAAAAGTTGCCGCATCTGGCGAAGATAGTGACGTATTGAATTTGAGTAGGGCTAAGTCTGGGTAGATAATG